TAATTCGGTCATTTCTGGCCATTGGCAAATTTTCTCAACGGTAAATAAATCTATGGACCGTACTGAACATGTTTATACCATTCAGAATGGGCTAAGCAATTTGCTATTTAAATATTTTCCTTTTTAGAATAATAAATAGATTTTTAGATTCTTAGATAAAGAAATTCTTAGATTAATAAATAGTTCATTTAAAGTGTGTGTGAATAAGAAAGAAAGAATATATTTACCACAAAACACTATTTTGGCCAGTTTTGCGTCTTCAGCAGAAAGATCCATTGCTGATACAAATCCAATGGTGATCATGAATAGTATGATTACAATATTTGACATCATGTAATCTATTAAAATATTTATCTTAAATGTAATATTATTTAAAAGTAATAGATTATAAATATTGTTTTAATATATACCTCTTTGCTATAATTGCTAACAAAATAAATAAAGTTTTATAAAATACAATGAGCTTTGTAATTTGTTAATTAACAAATATTAGCTTTTAAAGTTTTGTGTTAAAAATTTATAAAAAAAACTGGTTTATATAGCCCTATAAAAGAGAACATTTATAGTCAAATACATTGATACGGATTTTGTACTTTTATTTATTAAAACATATTGTCTGTTAGTTATTTGTTTTTAGGTTAAATATTAACACTGATATGTGTACATCAAATAAACAGAACATTAAGATCATAAATATTTCTCTTATTTGATAATATTTTGCAATAACATTCTATTAAAAGTTTCTAATTATAAATGTTTTATGTTTGATTTAATTTACTAATTATCTTTTTAATTGTTGTCTCATTTAGTAAAAATCATTTACTTTAATAAGTTTTATAATGTGTTTAAATATTAATGCCATAATAATAATAATACATGTACAATACTGTACTGATTTTAAATTAAAGCTAATGTCCATACACGTGTGTATTTTAGTACAAAAAGTATTTAAATACTATTGAGTACATTTGTAAATAGACAAACAATAGCACACTTTAGAATATTCACAAATATACGTGATTAATTATGTTTAGTACATAAGTAATTTTATTTTAATCCATCAAGTAAATTAATTATTACTTACGTTATTACTAACGTTAATAACTATATATGAGAAATGTTTTTTAATTAGCTTTAAAATATTAATAAAATATTTTAGATAATTTTAAGATTTGATATCAATACTATTGATTCAATAGAAAAATTTAAAGAAAATGACACCAATATTGGTTATTGCTATCCCATTACATATTGTATATTTGTAGCAAATTAGGAATTAAAGGGTATAAATTCTCATTACTCTTAAAATGTTTTAATAAATTATTCTATACATGCCACACTTTCATCTACATGCCTATACATTAACATTATCAAAAACACTATTAAGACTTCATTTGGCATGTATACTTTAGATCAATGTTTCGCAGAGCAGGCATAATTTGCGGACGTTATTATAATGTATTATCTATGGAAAAATAGTGGCAAAGCCTACCTTTTGAAAAGTCCAGCTTTAGATTAATCGGATATAATGTGAGCTCTATAGTATAGCTGTGAAGACATTTTTAAGTAATTATCCTAAAGTCTAGAAGAATTAAAAATTTGTGCAGCACATTTTTATATAATGTTCTACACGTATAACGTATTATTAATTAATAACATTTTGAAACTTAAGATAATTTTAATCATATGCTAATCTAAATAATTAATTTAGCTTAATAAGTATATTTATTTTAAATTAATTAACAATAATTAGATTTACATTTTATGATAAACCCTTGAATTATTGATAAAATTCTAATACTTTTATTATTGATAACAACAATATAAACACGCAAAGAAGCATTCATAAAATGTATAATTAATACATTTGCCATTTGGTACAATACATCTCAAAGGACTCATATTAACAAGGTAATTATTTTTGAACTAAAATTCTTAAAATAAAATTTTAAATGTGAACATTGCTATTGTTTGCATTTAATCAAGAGTGTTTTATTGTTGTCTTCAAGTATATAAATGGATAGAAAATGAAGTTGTGATCAAAAAATTTTGGTCATCAAATTATTTGCTCTTTATCTTAGTAGTGAGTTTGATATTTCAATATAACAACAGTAAAAATGGCAAAACAGATGGTCGTAATATCATTTCTATTGGCTATGGCTGTGATATACTGTGTATCGGCTCAAGATTTGGATAAGATTTTTACACCAGAAGTACGAAAAAATGCTAAAATGATTTTGTGTGGTAAATTATTTAATTTTATTATTTATAAGTTTATCCTTTAAATGACGTCTAAACATATCATTCTTTATCACTATGTAAAGAATCTTTTAATCTATTCATCTCTCTCTCTCTCTCTCTCTCTCTCTCTCTCTCTCTCCAAAAGCAATATCTCATTACAAGGTAAAGGTGTGTACGGAATAGCATCGGACAGGAGGACAGGGAGGAAATGAATGGTTAAGTTTATTTAGTTGAACACAACAATGCTTTTGTTAGTTTAACAGTATGTGTTATAAAAGCGTCCACTAACTCACCTTAAACTCACATCTATTTAAAAATAAATCTTGTTGATTTTACTCTTAAACTGATAGTAAAATTTCAAATATAATAGCTTAATTGCGACCTACCACCAACCAGAATAGTGGCCATGGTTAATTAAAAAAGTTATATGTTTGAATTGGTTTACTTGTGTGGATATTTGGAACATATTTTACTAACTGAAATAATTATTTTATAAATGTAATTGCTTGGTTAATTAGATGTTTTGCTGAATTCCAAGACTATTGACACGACTGGCAATTAAGTTTAGCAGATATTATAATTATAAATCTATTTAAATTAATCAACTAACGAATCTTAATCGTATTTTTGTGATAATTAATTAATTCGCCCTATTATGATAGCTAATAGATATCTATACAGTATGTACAATATATAATAAAATAAATGTGCGTGTTTATATGCAATCACCAATTTATTAGCAAAGTGTTTTGTTGGTAGCTTAAGTAAGTGCTGTGTATTTTAGCTCAAGTGCATACAAACCGTATATATATTGTATGGAAGGG